AACTTCTTGAACCGTAAACGAGCGCAGCGAAAATTAAATATGCATTTTTTCAAAAGCCCTTTTAATACCCTGTACAAAAAATAAAATAAAATAAAAACATGGTTAAGAAATGTTCTGCAAATATAGCAGAGTATTTATATTTTTGGATCATGTTCTACACGTCTATTTATATATATGTGTGTATTCAGAGATCTCTATAAAGAGAAGAGTTAAAATAAAAGCTAATATTTTGTGCAAAGGTTTCGTATATATAAATAAGATCGCATTTTGAGAACTTTGAATTAAATTTTATAAAAGCCAATAGAATATTAATTTTATTTTGAGTTTATTATTATTTATTATAAATATATTATTAATTTGAGTTTAAAGTTATTCAAATTTAAACACATTTTTGTAAACTGGCTTGACTTTGGCATAGTTACAGGGTATTTAGAAGTCGCTACCACACAATCTTACATATTCTGAAATTTGCTTTGCATGCAAATTTGGAAAAAGGCGAAACGAATTTCATTATGGTAGAAAACTCCGCTGGCAGATAAGTATGTATATGTATGTTTAGGCCCGACCCAGGTCGGGAGGTCCCCAGAGTTTTGGAGCTCGTAACCCCGCAGATTGACTGCTTTTTAATTGCTCGGCAAAAGTGGCTGTCGCTGTGTGTTTATTTGTTAGCCACGTGCTTTTGTTTTATGCGAAATTAAGAGGCATTGGGAAAGCAGTGCAAGCCGGACAGCATTGTTCGGAATGCAGCATAGAATGGCAGCAGAACAGTGGCAACAGGTGAACAGGGGAACAGGGAAGCAGGGCAACAGGGGAACAGAGCAGAGCAGCTGCCCCTAAGATGGGACTAACAGCTGAGTTGCTCATTAAAAATAGCCGTTGCCGTAGACCAAAACCAAGGAAAGAACGTGTGGCCCAGTAAGTGCTCGTATAAAACGGGACAGTAATTCAACAGCATTGTTAAAAAACACAACTAAAAATAGCAGAAGCTGGAGGGAGAGAACGAACCAGAGATACCCTTTTCACAATTAATATCATTGTATTTAACTTGAATCACCATTGATGATTTATAATAAATAATTCGTATTTTCTTTAATTGAACTCTAAATTTTCCATTTTATTTTTCATTTAAATTATTTTTTGGAATTCTGAAAACTGATTCTTATATAAATGTTGATTTTCGATGCCGATTGTGAATTTTAATTGTCATAGCTGCGGTTCCCTGACAACTTTGCACAGTTCTTAACTGCCCCTCTCTGCATTACAGGGTATACAAATAGAGTGCCGCTAACAAGGTAAGCGCACAGCTGGCAACGCAAGCGTTAAGCAAGTTAAGAGTGGCGTTAAGAACACCAAAAAGAACTACAATAGAAGTCAAGAAAACGCAATGCGAAACTGAGAAAAACGGAAAACAGTGGAAAAGCTTAAGGAGAACACAAAAGCAAAGGCTGCATGAAGTTCCATGGCAAAACTCAGCTCAAGGCTGGCCAAACCAAGCAATTTTCTCCCTTCGATCAGCTGCAGTCTAAGCTTTCCGTATTTTTCAGCTTTGACTATCATTAAAAAGATAAACAACTCAGCTTAACATTAAAATCCAACCGCGAAACCGATAGCTTTTCCAACTCATTCTGCGGCGCCCAGCACAGATGTGGAAATTACTTTTATACCAGTGCCCAACATTTTACAATTGGAGCTGCTCCATTGTGTAGAATTACTAACTATTCTATGTACATTTTGTATATAATAACTGATAGCTAAAAATTGAATTTAAATAAATTATTTATTTTCAACTTTAGTTTATAGAGTTGCTCAAAGTAAAAATAAATGCCTCAATATAAATAGCACGCATATATCAGCTACTTATAGATAAGCTAACCCTTGCTTGTAGGACAGATATTATCTAGTCGGTGGCCAGCAAAACCAATTACAAATACTCATCACGCATACGCAGCGTGTGCCGCGTGGAAATTGTAATAGCGTAAAGTGTACGCGAGATTAAACTACGTAACTCAGTTGGTGGGGGGAGAGGGGAGGGGCAACAGGTAAGCAACAACAGCCAGCAGTTGTCAGTTGTTGCCGTTGCTGTTGCTGTAGGCGTTAAAATTGCATAAGTGGCGCCTCGTCCTGTGACAGATATCAAAAACAAAACCACCAGAGAGAATGAAACTGCAGCTGACATGCGGGACGGGTGAGGGGGTGGAGTCTCTAGGGAACGCAGGGGCAACATGCTGTCAATCAGGTACGCTGCCACAATGCCGCACTAAAGTGCAGTTGCAGCTACATTTTGCGTTTTTGTGGCGTTAATAACACCAGCATATTAAATGCAAACACAACGATGGGGTGAGTGAGAGAATAGAGAGAGGGGGGTGAAGTGAGAAGGGGAGAGTGTGTGCGAGTGAAAGAGTGTCACACGTGTCACTTAATGGCAGCACAAATAAATTGCAATTATTTAGAGCGGGCTTTTAAGCATAGGTGCCACGCCCACGCCACACACCCATCCAAATCGCCCACAACGGCTGCAAGTGTCAGCCTCACATTTTGTGGTCATCTAATGGCAAATGGCTTTCGTTTGTTGTGCCAGTGTGTGTGTGTGTGTGTGTTGAAACACATTTTGTCACCTAATCATTTGCATATTTTACGGCATTTTATGCGAATTTATTTTAGATCAATTTCGACGATTTTCTCACTGGGCATTCCTTTTAAATCACTTTTGGCATTAAAACTACCAATAACTGTCATCAGTCCAAATCTAGTCGAAGAAGAACTTGCAGTCTTCAAAGAAAAATAATTTAATAATATCAATATTTCTTTTAGCCCAATTCCACTACATTAAACATTAAACATTCGTAAAGTATGTTGCCAATGTTGAGTTTCCTGCTTTTTGCAATGATTTATTGAATTTCGCATCGAACTTGCGCAAAGTTTGTCACAAATAGCTCGTGTTTGTGCTTAATTTAACTTACAATTCTTATTAAATTAAATTTAATGTATTTTTACTTATACTTTAAGACTATAAGCAAACTAGAAATGAAATCATATCTTAATTTTTACAATTTGCTTTTTTTACATTTTTTACTCTTTTCTATTGGAATTTCAAAAATATATCCATCAGCTTTTTTATTCAAGTCAGGCGCTAATTTTGCGATTCACAAATATTTCGAATATGAATGTCAGAAATGTTGGGCGCACTGGAATCAGGCAATAACCTGAAGATGTTAATCTCTGATTCCATTTCATTGCTTTTGGGCTCACAGCTTCCACTTCAAATTTTCGCAGTGCCCAATTTAAGGCCCAGATATGTGCACATCCAATAAATGTAATAATCTTGAGAGCAGTGAGCCCTGTTGCAACACACACAAACAGTGGCACGCACCCATCCCCACCCTCCCAATTGGTGCCCTAACTGGTGGCTAACGGTATCCGGCATCCGGACAGCAACCATAAATTGCATATTTTAAAAGTGCCGTAAATTGTTGGCGTAGGTGCGAAATCCGAAGTATGAAATACACCTGCACACTCAAACACACACACACACACATCTACACACAAACACACTACCCTCCCCCTTCTCTATCCGCTCTCTCTGCTGTTGCAATTTGCCAGAGCATAACTTGGGGCGCACAGTTTTTATCGGCGCTCATAAATTCAAACTGAAGTTTTGCAACACATGTTTATGCCGCATGCTGTACGAGCTTAAAGGGCGTGGCTCGCGGGGCGTTGTCCAAATTAGATATACAGCTTTGCCAGAAATTGCATATGATCTTACCAAGTGCGAGCATTACACTTGCCCCGGAAATCAATCTGGTATACAATCAAGACACGCATTTCAAAGTCATGTCGCATTGAGCTTAAAATCAAAATTAAGTGCATCCTTAGGTGTGGCAACATACACACTCTAAACACACACTAAACACACGCAGGCTAAACAGGAAGTCAAATTGGATGAAATCACATCCTCTGCACAAGAACTCATTAAGACAGAATAGGAGAAAGGGAGAACGATACAGAGTGCAAGAGATAGATAGAGAGAGAGCGAGAGTATGGTAAATATATACACTTATCTCAGACACATAGACCATTTTCTAGTCACTTCCGTTGCAAGTCGCAACTTGTTGCGAGTCGATGCTGTCTTAAAACATGTTTGCCTGCGCTGCAAAACTCAGGAATTTTTGCCTTGCTGCATAAATTCTTTCGATATGATTTATGCCCCAGAGCTCTATGACGGGACAAGGGGCAGGGGGGGGGGGGGTTAGTTGGAGTATGGCTGTGACAAAAACTGGTTCGAAATGCATTTGGCATCCGGTAGCAGTAGAAAAAAAGGAAAAAAAACATTACAAAATAAACAGACAAAAATAACGCTACGAGTCGTGTTGCAAATGTTGTGGCATTTAAATTTTCCAGCTAGCATAAAGGAAACACACTGGGTATGGGGCAAAGACGGGGGCTGGGAGGAATTTCTGTCATTTCTCTGTGTTCTATTTGGCATGCTGAGCACAGATTACATCACAATCAGCGTCAGTTAATAACGGTGCCTCTCTCAAGTATTTCTCTCTTTTCCTCTTGCTAATTCCACAGCTTTCCCAACCCCCCCTTGCTTTTTACTATTCTCAGCTTTATTTTTTAGCACAAATTACAGTTTCACAGGCGTCACGTAATACGACCGTAGTCCCCTTGCTCTCCCCTTTCCTTCGCCCCGCCCTCGATTCTGTCTGGAAAATCATTTACATTATGTTGTGACCCCCAACATCTCGTCAAATAACACACCCTAGTTAATATTGGGCTTAAGGACCGACGCCTCCTCCACAAACCAACTCACAAACATTTTTCCTATTCCATTGTCACATTTGCAACCCCAAAAAGGGGGTGGCAAGCTCGTTACTATGTGGTAAATACCCTATGATCTTAGCTGGTAAAGTTATTTTAACTAATACGCAATAATAACTAAACAAAATGATTTTTAATTTTAAAGTTAGCTTAACTTAAGCTGAATGCAATTTAGTTACCTTAGTTTATCCGCTTATTCGCTTAGAAATTGAGGTTTCACTAAACGTTTTTTCTCTTTAATTTGAGAAGCACTAAAAATTCATTTTCTCGTCATTTGCTATTTAAAAATTGAGGAAAGTAGGACAAAATAATTATTTGGCAAAAAGTCTTCATTTAAAAATATTAAAAACATGTTGAAATAATGTAAATATAATTGGTTGTGTGAAAGATTTGGTGACCTTTTTTGTTAAGCAAAGATGCACAAAAGTAAAATCGGGGTTGGGTCTTAAAAGATTCACTTACTAGTTGAGAATTTCTTACTATATATTTTCTTCTTCTTTTCAGAGTCTTGAGCTACCTCTTTCGCTCTTTTTACAGGGTATACAAATTGGGATTGTGTTTAGTGTCGCATGTGCCTTAAAGTGGATTGTTAATAAGTTTTCCAAGCAGCGAGCTGTGGCGCCTCGTTAGACCTGGCCACACCTTGCTATCGAAGGTGGGGCACGGGGTCTGGAAAGGAGGAGGGGAGGGGGTCAGCTCAATTACATTTGGGTTCGGGAAATGGTAGAACATGCTTGATCGGTACATTAGTTTTTGGGTGTGTTGAACAGGAAATGTAAACAATTCTGTCGCAAAGGGAAATTCAATTAGATATGCAACGGCAAAGGGAAGTAAACAACAAATTATATTCGATTCGGAATGTGTCGTTGCTTGATAATAATATATGTATATCTAAGTGCCTAGTTAGGTGGTTCTTAGCTGTAAACGTAGAAAGTGGCGACAAAGACAAAAGAGTCTTTAATAGTTGCCTCTCATTTAATAGTCCAACATTTTCTTTTAATTTTTGGGTTCTATTTGCAGTCGAATTATTTGCTCTGGAATTTAAGACTATTAAAACAAAGGACGAACAGTTTTCGGACGCTGTTCGCATTACGCAAACCATATTTTAAAAAAACACGTATACACGGCGAGAAAAAAAAGAGGACAACATTTATGGAATGTTAGCATTAGTCCAAAGCACTTGAGTCGGTCTCATTAAAAATTCTTCACAAATGCCGATTGCTATTTTTTTCAGCTTTAAGCAATTTCCATTGCTTTTGTTATTGTTGTTGTTGTTGTTGCTGCTGCTGATGATTTCTTTCGCTCAGTGCAGGTATGCTTATATACATTCCTATATATATATATTTGTTGCGACAGCGGCGTGCGCACAAAATCAACAAAGGGCATATACAAAGACAAACCTCAGCTCAAAGGTAAACAAAGACCGGCAAAGGGACATGCGAACGAACACGCAACGCAACAGCGAAACGATAGAAATGGGACAGATGGAAATGGAAATGCAGACAGAGCGAGAGAGAGGGAGAGACAGGAAGAGAGATGGGGAGAGGCAGGTCGTTCATACTCGCGACCCATCCCGCTACTGGCTATTAATTTTTATTTGTCTTGTCATTTAAAGAATTCCACACAAAGCTGGCGCTGCTTGTCTGCTTGTCTGCTTGTCTTGCCTGTCGGTGTTGCTAAGCGAGACTCAAATTACCTTATAAATAGTTAGTCGGGCACTAAAAGTCGCTGACGACTTGCGGATGCCATGTTCAGATTCCAATCTCAAGCTTACCTGCAATGGCAAAGAAAGAGAGAGAGAGAGAGAGAGAGAGAGAGAATGAGAAAACAGTTGAGTAATTGTTACTTGAAATAACCGCTTAAAGCTATATACATTACAAGAATGCTGCTAATTTTTATAGCAACTAACTTTGGCAACAATATCCAAACGGACTATGTTGCAACATTAAAGGGATAATTACAAATATTCCAGATAATGGCTTAACTGGTTTACTATTAGAAGCTGGATGCTTACAGAATATTTGTAGAGCAACATGTTGAGCAACTTGACTTTAATTAAATCGATTAATGCTGCCCATTTGATGTCTTCATTTAGTATTTTTTGCAATAAAATTTAAATTTTGATTAATTCATATTTTTACATGCCTCTCGATTACGTACAACAAATGAATTGTTTTGAGTCTTGTGTTTTCTTTCAGTTTGGAAATTCCATGAAAAGTTTGATTATGTTTTTCATGCTAATAAATCTTTGTAAATTGGATACCTTTTGGCGATACCCACCCACAAACGAATTGAAAACGCAACTGTTTCTTTTCTTTTTTTGTTTTTAGTTTCCCATGCCTATGAGGGCAAAGCGACAGCTGCCACAGATAGATGCATAAATATGAAAAACCATATGGGAAATTGTGCCAAAAACACAACAACAACGACAAGTACTACAAACTCCAGTCAGCAAAACAATCTATCTACGCACATGTGGCAGCATCGTCTATCAGATACATGCGTGTGTGTGTGCGTGTGTGGATACACTTGATGCAGCGGCAGCAGCAGCTGACTTGCAGTCCTTGTCCATAACTAAAGATAGATAGCGAGTGTGGGAATTTCGCTATGGGAAATACGAGTCGAATGGGAAGGCAGATGCTGCTGCCGCTGCTGCTGCTGCTCCGGCTGCTACTGCCACTTCCACTGACGTGCTGCTGTTGCTGTTGCTTCCACTGAGGCTGCTGCTGCTTCACATGCTCTGATCTCAGCGTTAGCAGGTAGACAGAGGAAATGTGCGTGTGTCTTACAAAAAACAACAGCAACAACAATAGCAGCAGCAGCAGCAACATGTGGAAATGTGCATACACTCAGAAAAAATAAAATACGCACTGAAATTTGGCACATTTTATTAGAAATTTTCTAAAATGTAGTCTGGAACTTAGAAAAGAAAAACGCTGGTTTTTAGATAAACACAATCAGCCTTTTTAGAAGTTTACTTGCCCAATAACAAGGTGCCGATTATTTTCCAGTGTATGGATATGGAAATGCCAATCGTAAATGGGAAGTCTAAAAGCATTTTGTGGATATGGAAAATCAAAGTCAATGTCGACGGTGGAGCAGAGGAAAGGAACTATTTTATTTGCCAGCTGGTTTTTGGTATCAATTCGAGCGTTATGCATTTATGGGTTTCCGGTTTGAGTTTGGGATTCGTCTTTTTCTTTTTGGGGGTATTGGAGTTGGGGTTGAGGCTGCGGATGTTGGAGCAGCGGCACTTTCGTTAGAGGTTCAGAGGTCAGCGCTGGCTAACGAGACTAGCTCTCAAGTCAATCCATTGTTGGAACCTAACGCCCACAATTAGGGCACAACAAATGTGGCTCTTTCTGCATTGAACGTAGGTGTGAAAATAAAGAGTTTGTGTGTTTTTTGTATTCTTCTTTTTGTTTTTCATTTCTGGGTCTGGTCTTTTATCTTTCCAGGTAGGGGCTCTTGTTGTCAGCAGAGTGTTTGGGCTCAAGATTGATGCATGCAGCACGATAAGCGTGGGCTCTAACATATAAAATGCTTATGAGTATTGTGTCTTGGAGCGTTGACATGTTCAGCTGCAGTTGAAAACTTGTGCAAGCATTTTTCCAATGGAAAAGAAAAGTGCCCCAAGTCGGAGCTTTGCCTGGATTAATTGTGGAAATGGAATTATAACCAGTTAATGTTAGTTTTGTTGCTAGTGGAAATGGCACCATAACTATTTAATGATAGTTTCCTTGGATAAATAATGGGAATGGAACTAGAACCAGTTAATGTAAGTTAACAGAGAACAAACTAGTTCCCAACCAGAAGAAGTAGAACAAGAGGAAGAAGATTCATTTCCATTCACTATTTGGCTAAATCCATAATTGAGCTCATTTTAAATAACTTCCCTTCCAAATCTGAGTTTGTGAGAATGTTCTCTTTAAGTCTTAAGTTTCCCTTCACTTTAATGGAAAGTTGTCAGCGCACAAAGAAATTCATGGAACTAGATTTCTACAAAAATTCAAAAGATTGCTTCTATTTCTTTATCGATCTCTCATTGACTTTTGATCATCGGAAATTCTCACTTTTTTTATGTCATTTGTATTAATTTCACAGTTTCACTTTATGATTTTTATTTACTGGATTTCCTTCACATCTTTTCAAAGCATTTACATTCTTCTCTCAGCACAATTGCCAACAATGCAGTTGACTTCCTTTGATGTCATTTGTGTTGTATAATGCCAATCATCTTGGTCATTGATCAGCATTTGTTGACCAAATTCTTATGGCCATTTCTTTATCAATTAGCTGATCCTGTACAGTGAACACAATTCGATAGACTCAGGTGCGCATTTCCTGCAGTCATCGAAATTGTGTCAAACATTATTTTATACAATTTATGAGCCCTTCAAAAATGTTGAGCGATAATTTGTCAAATGGCATCAAATTTGTGGGCATGAGTGGGCAACAAATAAGAATTCAGAGGACAGGAAGTTCATTTTGATGGTGCTAAAGAATATGTTTTGTATAACTACTATTTTATGAGCGACTCATAAATTAGAAAAAAGAATCTACTACGCATTTTAATGAGTTTGTCGTTTTTTTTTTTTGCTGATTTCTCGAGAATTACTGCGGCGCAACTGCAAATTAAACTAAACTAGTTTTCAGTTTTCCGAATGGCCAAGCCAAAACTCAGATACTTAGTTGCTGTAGTCACTTTTTTTTGTTTACTTTTGCTGCTGTGTTTTTGCTGCTGCCAAATTGTGCTGGCCAAAACGAAATGAAGTACAAATGAAATTACACAATTCTCGTAAAATGTTGCTGTCGTTGCTGAAGTTGTTTCTGTTGTTGCTGCTATTGTCAGGCACAAATTTTTGACTGTGGCTTTTGCGCTAATGGGCAAGTTCTTTTGGTTTGCGGACGCAAACTTGGCTGCTGTGTAAATATAATTATAATAGTTTTTTTTTTATTTTTTCTTCTTGCCTTGGCATTCTTCTTCTTTTACTAATATGCTTGGTTGGACTACTGCTTAACAGTTACATAAGCAAATAAGTGCTTAAAATGTTTGCCCAGCAACAAGTTTCGGCTGCAACATTGTTTACTTACTTGCTTACCAAAGAAGCAGAATGCCCGCTAAAAATGTTGCTCAACATGCGCATTGCGAACGAAGGCTGAGCAACAACTACAACAACAATATTTAGCTATTTGTCACGCTTTGACGTTACGGCTGCGCTGCCTCTGCCTCTGCTGCTGCCGCTGCCTGTCGATGGCAGCACGCTTCGGTGCGAC